GAAAGAGAGAGAGAAAGCCCCCCCCCCCCCCCCCCAATGCTTATGCATACGTCCATTCGCGGCCATTTGGTCGCCAAGGAACACCAAGGAAGACAACAGCAATTGATTGCACATCCGCCTCAGGTTTTTTTTTTCTCGATCAAATATGTCTTCTACATTACAAGGCCGGTACACGAACGTCACAGAGAGAGAGAGAGAGAGAGAGAGAGAGAGAGAGAGAGAGAGAGAGAGAGAGAGAGAGACAAAGACACCCCCCCCCCCTTATCCTCATAGTATCCCGTCGCCGTCTACAGACGAGGACGCTTTCACGCATATGCCTTTTCTCCGCACTCGCCGCTCGTGACAAGATATGTCACCATCCCGTCGCGATCCCTGTCGATCATACGCCCCCCCGATATTTCCATGTTCTAGCGGTAGATTCACTAGATTTTCCTGATCCGGAATCGTTTCGGTGGGAGCCGTTCCGGTGGGAGCCTCGAAGACGTCTCCATACTCGTCCAAGAGGTGAGTAATGCGTGGGTCCGGCGGTGACGCGGCTGGTCTGTTCGGCGATGGGAGGGCATGCAAGAATACAAGGCCGATCTCCTCGACATCATTCCGAGCTATGGTGTCACGAATTCTCGCAATGGAAACCACGTGACAAGCAATCGAAGTGTGAGGGGTCGCGACCGTACATAGGACTAACACTCCGTTCCGATCACGGATGTGAACGGTTCGGTCATGAAAGTTCACCGGATGATCGGCGCTACGCAACCAAGACATGCCTAGAATCATGTCGAACTTGGTGTCGAGGATGTCAAAAGACACCGGCTCGCACGCAAGTGGCACAAAGTATACCGGAACGCCTTCGACGCATTGGTCAATTGACTTTTGCGTGCGGCCGTCCGCGAGTGTAACTTGTGTGGGTTGCGTCTTCCTTCTAACGCGCGGGCCAAAACCTGCACGGGCCATAAAGGCTTGGCTCATAAAGTTGCGAGACGCTCCGCAATCAATCAAGGCACTACAGGTTGCCTTTCCGATTTGAATGCGGATATAGAGCAAAGGAGTGTCGGTTTCGGCGTACCTTTGGGTGGAGTACTCGCGGTCAATCTTCGCAAGATAGGAGCGGAGATCGACAACCGCTACCCCGTCGTCCGTCAACGGAGCTGGTACTGTAGTGTGCAAATAGGAGCGTAAATTTTCCATCAAGGCATTGCAATGCGGCCTTGGCAAGGTTCCGGTCGAGGGTAGAGGCATCCAAGCGAAGTCCTCTCTCGTGAGCGGGTCAAGCTCCTCAAGTCTTGACCACGCCGTCGAGTCCTCGGAAATCAGTGGCGAACTGACCGGATCACTTGCCGACGGTGTACAGGCTGCGCATACGCAATCTAAGTGCACGTGACTCGACTGGTCTAGTGGTGGTACCAGCTGGGCGGCATAATCCTCSTACGTRGCACGAGAATCAGCGACTAACGCATGCTCCCCGGTAGTGACATCGATTGCTRGCAAGGCAACCGGGTCCGGCGGAGTGAGGAGAGACGTCGCCCCTCTCCTTGCGTAACTCAGTTTCCCGAGTTWGCTGGACGGGGTACGCGTGCCTTGCCCTTTTYGGGGCATTGTGCRGTCAARTGAGTGACTCCATTGCACCAAAGGCAATATCCGTACCGTTGACGAAGGTCATAGATTTCCTTGGTTATCTTGTATGCCGTCCATGGCTGCTGCCCAGTTCCCGTCGATGCCGTCTCTTGTGTCGCCTTGTTCTTCCGAATTCTCTTTGGACGATTCGCCGGGAGCGCTGCTACAATTCCTCCATCACTCGAGGATGCTTCTGCAGCGTGGAGATCGACTGTTTCTTCAGAAATCACGACATTGTTATGTGCCGGTCGTTGATAGCCATGCTTAGCTACATAATGCGGCTGGGACTGCCGTTCGTTTGCGGCCTTGTCATCCGTTTGGATGACCAAGTTCGCACGATCCAGGATGGTCTGGAATGAGGCGTAATCGTACTCATTGCGGAGTGCGGTTTTGCAGTCCTGCGCGTGATCGCGAGAAGAACTCGGATCGTTGGTTGGTAAAACTCAAATCGAAGCCTGGCGTGGTCACTATCTTTTGCCACTTGGTTGTCCAGTCTCGAGTTGGCATACTTCCTTGTGAGCAGGTGTACACCTCGTTCATGGCTGCCTTCACGACGTTGCGGACCATGAATCGAGTGAACCACAGTTGCTCGAACTCCTTCCACGTGATGTGCGTGTGGAGTTCGGCGATGGTGCATTTCTTGGTAGCCGCCAGATGGTTCATCCATGCCTGCGCTCCGCCAATCAGTTGTAGGTAGAGCGCCTTCATCATGTCGTCAGCCGGGACAGTGCGGCATGATGCTTCCGTGAGGAAACTTTGCCACCATGTTAAGGCGTCCGACTTGTTGTAGTCGTCGAACTTGCTGATGTCGAAGTGCGGCATCTTGTAATTCTTCGTAGCGGCATCCGGTCTTGTCTGCAGTTTGGTGATGCTCGTCTTGATGGCGGCCACCGTGCTGCTGATCGTGGCCGAACTAGTGAAATCACCTAGTTCGCCAATGATGGTGACGACGTGATCGATGCGCTCATTGAGCTGCTTCGTTGCGTCTGTCGTGCAGCCTGGCGCTGCTGAGGCCTTAGCCTCAATGCCGTTGATGCGTGCGAGAGTAGAGTTCAACAGCTGTTGCTGTTGCTGCTGTTGCGTTGCTGCGTCGCGGACGGCAGCTGTTAAAGCGGCCACCTCTTGCTGGTGCTTTTGTCGTTGCTGTCGTTCCGCGAGCAGGTGTGCCTGCAGCAGTTTGTTGTTCCACATTACTCCCCTCATCACACTCAACATCAGGGTAGCCAGGTTACTTCTCTCTCCCTCCGCCTGTGTCGGAGCCGCCTGCGCTTCCGTAGGCACAAAGAACATGCCTTCGAGTAGCGTTGTCCACTGATTCTCATGTTGAATCAGGGACTCCGTGCTGGCGGCATTCCGTCTGTCTCGTGCCGCTGCGTCAGCCTCAGCAGTCTGCTGAGCTTGGGCTGCTGCCTCATTGGCCAGCCGCTGACGGTCTGCCTGTGCTGCCTCCTGCTGAGCCTTGGCGGTAGCTACAGCATCAGTGAATACCTGTAGCCGCCCAAGGTAGTCAGCCACCGGTTCAAGGGCCCCTTGGACCGGACATGCGGAAAGAACTCCGGTGGGAACCGGTATTGTCAATGCTGTACTCGATGCCGCCTGAGTCGTCCGCTTGCTGAGCCGCTGTTGCTGATACTTGCTTCGTGGAGGTACCACAGGACGGGTACGAACTGCAAGCCTGGCACTGCGTCGTGGCAGTGCCCCGGTGTCCTGTTCCATCGACATCAGCGCCGGCTGATGTGGTACTTGAGAAATCCCGGTGGTCACAGATTACGGGGAGGGTAGGGAGAGTGCGAACAGGGGTAGAACAATCAACACTTCACATACAGTCCCTGTCCCACTGATGGACTGTAGACACCTTATCAAACAGAAAAAGTAAATTTCCCGTAAACAATTCAAAAATTCGTAATAAGAAAATACTAACGAATTATTTAATCAATAAAGTTTAATTAATGATTAATAACGAAATAATATTTTCTCAAATGACACAATAGTCAATAAAACAATATTTGCAATAATGATAATGAATGAATTTGAATTGTATCAAGACCCGGAAGTTGCAATTCTGAGGGTCAGATACGGATTAGTTTGCCAAAAAAAAAATTCGGAAAAAATCAGAAGAAAAACACTCGAATTTTCAAAAACGTGAAATTTCGGGGATTTCCACTGTCAAAATCCGATTTTTTTAAATGCCTAAGTCCGTTTTCGGAATTTCTCAAACAAGGGAGAGAAAAAAAAAATTCGCGAAAATTTCGGATTCCAACCCTAATTTCCCGCGATTCCGCGGAATTTCCGGTTTTACGGTTCCAGAACGTTCGAATTTCCCAAGTTGATTGAAAACCAAAAATTTTCGTAACCCTAATTTCCCACACTGCAATAAAACGGAAATGCCGATTTAGAAAATGGAATACAGGATTAAAATCAGAATACTGAATTATAAAAACGGAAACCGAATTGAAAATCAGAATGCCGAATTAAACAGAGTACTGATTTCAACCTAATCACGAATCACTAATCAGAAATCCGAATTAAATAGAATGTCGGATTAGTTTCAATTTATCGGAACTCAAATTAACAGCATACCGGAGTAGAACAGAAATCCGAATACCGAATAGAAACGGAAATATGCCGAAATAAACAGAATACCGAAAAAAGAAAAAAAATTTGCAACTTTGAACTCGATAGTAATACAGAGCTGATTTGGAAGATTGAAGAAGCAATCTAATTCCTAATCAGACTTACCTGGTGAGCAGATCCGTAAAATGGTCTGCTCCGATACCAAAACTGTTACATACTCGTGATTTTATCAACGAGTATGGGGCAGAACCAAGAGAGAGAGAGAAGGTTAACGGAGACCCTAATTTTCAGACCACTTGCCATGCCATCAATATGAAAACCAAAGGGTCATTTTAATCAAACTTGCCACCAATTCGTACAGTGGAGACCATACTAACTAACTGCAAAAACAAAACAAAACAAAAGAATAAAAAACATATAAAACAGCAAGGCAAAAGTGCATTTTCATGAAATTTTGCCAACATCTCAATTTCAGAAATCTTGAGAAATTTCAGAAATCTTAACAGAGGAAATTCCAATTCTCCAAATGACACAAAATTTGGCACACACCGACCTTGAACCAAAACAAGAACACGGGAAAAAAAAACAAAAAAACATAAAATTTGACCCCAAAACCCTAATTTCAGTTTTGGACTCGTTACCCAGGGCCTGCTCTCTCTGTGTATATAACATATATATATACACACACACACACACACACTGGATTTTTGCATGTTCTCGCGGTGG